GGGTGCGCGGGCGCCGGCCCCTCCGGCGGAGGCGAGGCTTCCCCCGCCGGGGCGCTGAGGAGCTCTGTTTTGCAGGCGATGAGACTTCGGTCAGCCAGGATGACTCCGACAACAGTGTCTCCGAGAGCCTGGACGACTGCGACTACTCGGTGGCCGAGATCAGCCGCTCCTTCCGCTCGCAGCGGGAGCTGTGCGAGCAGCTCAACATCAACCACATGATCCAGAGGATCTTCCTCATCACCCTCGACAACAGTGAGCGCCGGGAGCCCTCCCGCCCGCGCCGGGGGGGCGGCTGGGGGGGGACGTCACGGGCTGGGGAAGCTCCGTTGCGCCGGGCGGAGCTCACCGGGTCGGTCCAAAATTGAAGGGGAGAGCTGGGAGAGGGAGCGCGCTGGGGCAGGGCCCTGCCCGCAGGTTTCACTGCCTTGCCGGCACGTTCTCCGCCAGTTTGGATGAATCGGGTCGGTCTGTGCTGTTCTCAGGCGACCCCAGCATGAAGAGCGGGAACGGGATCCCAGCGCGCTGCGTCTACCTGGAAGAAATGGCCGCGGACCTGGACGACCAGGACTGGCTGGACATGGACAACGTCGAGCAGGTAGGGCCGCCGGCCTCGGGCGTTCTGCTTGCTTTGGCAACAGGGATTGAATTTACTTCCTCGCAACCTACACACGATGCATCCTGAACGCAGCCTGTTTGCTAAAGCCTAGCGCGGAGCTGCCGGTTGCGGCTTTGCCAGAAACGGCCACGGGGGTTTTGGGGTACGAGGCTGAGAAAGATTTAGGTTTTGCTGCTTCTGTTCCCTCCTCCTCCTGGAGGCTGCAGCGGCTTGCTGCCGTGCAGATCGGCTGGGGATGGGGAGGGGAACAAACGCGGCCCAGGCAGGGCGTGAGGGGAGGCTTGCGTGCGGTTGTGGGAGGCGAATGCTGCTGGCAGTGGGGCCGTGTGCTGCCTCTTACGCCACCGAACAACACTTGGTGATCAGCGTTCGTGCGCATACTCAGCTTTGTTTGCAGACACGTTAGTCGTTCCTGGCGGGTTTTTCAGTGAAAATAACTTCTGTTCGGGCTGCTGTTGCTCTTAAAAGGGGCTGGAGAATGTGCTTAGCCAAGGGGCAAGCCCCAGGGGTCTTGGTCTAGTGCTCTGTTACTTAACGAGGGACAGGGAGAGCTCTTCCAAGCAGAAATCGTTTAGCCTGTGGTGACACGGGGCTTCTTTTTTGGAGGGATGGTCTCTCTGCCGGGGCCATTTCGCTTTCCGTCTGTCTTTGCTGGTGCCTAGGCCCTGTTTACCCGCTTGCTGCTACCGGAGCCTGGAAACCACCTGATTCACATGACCTCTGCCAGCACGCAGAACCTCTCCGCTGACCGGGACGCAGGGGAGAGACAGATTCTGCGCTACCTCTACGCCTGTTTCCAGAGGGCAAGAGAAGAGGTGGGCAAGGGCTTCTGAGGAAGAAGGTGGCTTTGTCACCCAGCTTTCTGGTCCGAGGTGACAGAGCGGAGGTTTTAACGGCCGGGAGCGGATGCCAGGACCCCAGCTCTGTCTCGTTCTCCTTGCGCAGATAACCAAGGTCCCGGAGAACCTGCTGCCCTTCGCCGTGCGCTGCCGGAACCTGACTGTGTCAAACACTCGCACTGTACTCCTCACCCCGGAGATTTACGTCAACCAGAACGTGTACGAGCAGCTGGTGGACCTGATGCTGGAGGCGCTGAGAGGGGCGCGTAAGTCCGGCTGGGTTGCGGCGCTAGCTTAGCGCTGCGAGGCTGCCCTTCACGTTAAAGCTTGCGGGAAGAGCGTCGTGGACTCGGGTGAAGCTGTGGCTCCCCTCCTTGCTAAAAGGGAGGGCTGCGTTTAGGTCGCGGCGTTTATGCATGCGCTGAGGTTCGGCCGCTTGGAGTATCGTGGTAACAGCCGCGCTTCCCCCGCTAGACTTTGAAGACACGACCGAGTTTCTCGAGGAGGTCATAGAAGCCTTAACGGTGGATGAGGAGGTGCGGACCTTCGGGGAGGTCATGGTTCCCGTGTTTGATATCCTGCTGGGCAGAATCAAGGACCTGGACCTCTGCCAGATCCTGCTGTACACGTACCTCGATGTGCTCCTCTACTTCACAAAGCAGAAGGACGTAGCAAAGGTGGGTGCCTCGGCCTGACCGAGAGCTCCTCGCAGGTTCTGCTCGCAGGAGGGGCACGTTCATAGGACCTAATCCGTCGAGGTCAAACCAACAGTACAGTGTAACAGCAGCCTGCGTGTGCACTCTTACCCCTCTCCTCCTTTCTGATAGCCTGCCCCAAACCTATCAGTTTGTGGGGTTTTTTACTGGGATTTTATGTGACCGTCAGCACGTCCTGCTGTGTTCCCTAGGTTTTCGCAGGCTATATCCAGCCCAAGGATCCCAGCAACGGACAGATGTACCAGAAGACTTTGCTAGGCGCCATTTTAAACATCTCCTGCTTGTTGAAGACCCCCGGCGTAGTGGAGAACCACAGCTATTTTCTGAACCCATCCCGATCCAGCCCGCAAGAGATCAAAGTGCAGGAATCCAACATCCATCAGGTGGGCTGAAGCGTGACGGTACTGCTTCCCCGTGTGTTTTAGTGGCCTCTTGTTGCTGAGGGTTAAAGACCTGATGTCAGGGCTTTAGTTCCACCGCTAGCCCTTTAATCGTCTGGCTTGCGACTAAGCAAGTCCCAAAACTGCCTTGGATCCCCAGCTGTAACGTGCGAACGGTTTCGCCCGCTTCCTCTGGTTGTTGTAACCCAAGTCTTCGTGTCGAGCAAGTCGTGTTTTATCAAAGTAATTGTCTGACCTCTGGGAAAAGGGTAGGGTGGTACTCGTGGAACAGATACCAGCACTGTAACTTGAGGTGCTACGTGAAGGTAATCCACCTTAGGTGCCGTGCTCACTGGGAAATAGCTTTCAGTACCCGTCCTGTAATTAAAATGCTAATTGACCCCCTAACAGAGGAAGTGACAGGCAAGGTTCTCTCTCGTTATGAAAGTAAATAGCTTCCTCAGAGGAACAGTGCTGGGAACGTTTCGGTAGGTAAGGAGCGAAGCATCGGAAGGCAGGAGATAAATACAGGAGTACACTCGGGGGCAGAAGTGCTCACAGAGAGGGGCTTTCCCAGTCACCCGTTCTTTCAGGGTCGTTGCTGCCAAAAAACGCGTAAAGAACTTTGGTTTTGCTCCCCGCGGAAACACCTTGCTCTCAACTATGCTTTTGAGGATGTCCCTAATTGGGGGACAATTGTCTTTGCTGCCGGCCTCAGGATTTGACCCGCTCGTAACGTGTGTGTCTGACGGGTGATTAATAGAGGTGTCCTGGCCGTGATTTACTTTGAAAGCCCTGCCCTTGAAGAGCAGGATGCGGTCTGGAGCCGGGAGAGCTCTGAGAGCATTAATGACGGGAGAGGCCAAAAAGCAATCCCGCCAATGGCTCCTTCAACCACGTTCTGTTCCCCGTAACAGTTTACGGCCCAGTTCCACGAGAAGATCTACCAGGTGCTGAAGAACCTGTTGCAGTTGTCTCCAGAGACGAAGCACAGGATTCTCTCCTGGCTGGGAAACTGCCTCCACGCGAACGCGGGCCGCACCAAAATTTGGGCTAACCAGATGCCGGAGATCTTCTTCCAGATGTATGCCTCAGATGCCTTCTTCCTCAACCTGGGAGCTGCCCTCCTGAAGCTGTGCCAGCCCTTCTGCAAACCCAAATCTCCGAGGCTGCTAACCTTCAACCCTACTTACTGTGCCCTGAAGGAGTTGA